GGAAGAGGGGGTGGGGCTGGTTTTTGGGGATGGCGGCCAGCTGTGGGCAGCTGCAGCCAGAGTCTGGAGCTCCCCCAGGTGGTGGCAGGGGCCCATTGCAAGGGAGCGGGAATAGATTGGCAGCAGATTGGCTCCCACTTCCCTGCGCATGTAGACACTTGCCCTGCACCGTTTACCCACGAGTAATTTACTCATGACTAAACTGGTGTCGTAGCAAATGCACATGTAGACGTGGCCACTATGGAGCAAAATCTGTGATAGATTATTCCATACATTGCGTCATATATATGTGAATTTAGTAATAAAATATCACATGAACATTTTTTTTAAAGCGTTACAAACTTTTCTGAGTTCTCTCTTACATTTGCCATCATCTTTCAACTATTTTTCTGCTGGTGTCATGGAAAAAGGAGATTTACTGGCAAGATCTATTGATGCCATCTTAGAAAGGTCTTTATATGCATAATGCAGAGTACAGAAACTTGTAACCCACTACATAGGAGATTGGCAAGATAGATAGAGACCATTTTGGTTTTGCTAAACCAAATTCAGTACCAGGGAAGTTAGGATTCTAGTAATTTTCTTCTTTTTTTCCTTGAACCTTAAAGAAAACTAGGTTCTTATCATGGTTCTGCACTTGAAACATCTTTATCTATTGGAATAATAATAACTTTGAATGAGCCAAACAAACCACAACTATGCCAAAAAAGTTAATGTTTTGTGAACTGGATACCAATTTCTCTCCATATACTTTGCACTAATTAAAGTCCTACCAAAGTGAATAGGAGCTTACTTGGTTATTTCGATTTCAGTACAGAGTTTGAAGAGTGGAGATAATAATAGACAAATACAATTTGGTGAGGCAATACCTGGTAAAAATGCTATGACTCCTATATCATGTCAAAATAACATAAATCTGTAAATAGTTTAGGTAACTAGCCTAAAAATCAAAATATGCTAGGTGCATGACAGAATCCTTCTTTAGGACATAGTTTTAATAGAAAATATTTTAGATATGCTTGCAAAATTTGAATGGACACCACATGCATGTTTAAAACCCACATTCACATTCAGCACTTGAGCTTATAGAAACTCATTTTTTGTTTGCAAAACCAGGGGCATAATGATGCAGATGAGTGAAGCCATTACACACACAGGGGCAGCAGCTACTTCTAGTTGCTACTGCACTGCCAAAGCAACGGTGTGGCTCTAATTGCACTTGTTTTTTCATGCTCCCCTTAAGCTGGTTCCTGGTGTGGCTGCTCCAGTCACCCCACCCTAGATATGCCACAGTGCAAACATGTTTAGAAGAGGCACATACAAGTTTTAAGAAATTTGACTCTAATTGTATGACATTACTACAAAACAGGCAGAAGCCATCACTAACTATTTCTTCTACTTGTTCATTCCCTTTTTTTCTTGTACTTCCTATGGGTTCAGGATATAAACTTCTATTGTGTGTTCTGGGGACCCCTTAGCATAAGACAAAATGAATAATAAAACCTATCACAACAAGTGAAATGGCTACCACACATAGGGATACTCCATAGTCTCTGTTGCGGGGGGAGGAGGGACTCTTCTTTAGCTCCTACTGAATGTTTTTATTTATATTTTAATAATATAGGACACCAGTCACCAATTAAAAAGAAACATACTGTTTAATTTTAAAAATACTTATTTTGACTAAGACAATAAATCACTTTTTCATTTATGAAAATACTATCAGGTTTGTATCATACAATTGAATGTCTATGTATTTGTATAAAATCATCAATTGGGCCCCCCAAACTCTGAAATGATCAGAGAACCTCTTAGATTTACCTTTAAAATATTCCTACCAGATTCTCATTGTCTGAGTATTTAGGGATGTTTTTTTCCTTTCTGAAGTGTTCTTGTTCTTAGCAAATACAACTGTATTGAAGGCAGAAGCAGTTGAACATTAAAGTGCATAGATTGTCCACATTTGGAAAGCAAATGTTTAGAAAAGCACTACTTCTTCTGATTATGGATTATTTTGGACTAAATGGTCATCAAAATTTAAGAAGGTATAACACTGTGTTTTCTTATAAGAAAGAACATGTTTTGTACAACTTAACAAATAAACTTAAAACTTAAATATTGCCGTTAACAGGGTAATAGCTATCTGCTGGGAAGTAATAACTAAACAAACAAATAGGGTAATGTTTTCTAGTGTACAATAATTCATATTCTTTCAATAAATAAATAACTTATGCTTCAATTTATTTTCATGACTTTTGAAGCAAATCAAGTTTCCAGCAATTTAAATAATAGTGTTCTAACAATTAAAATAATTGTTTTGACAGGAGTTAATCATGATTATTATGCTGACCATTATCTTTAAGGAACCTAGAAAGTTGAGTGAAGGCTTACACATTTGTTAAGTTACTTTTTATTTGCATAGAAAAATATTTATCATAGGAGTTAACTATCATACGAGAGAAATTGCATTTGTTTTAATTGAAAAAGATAGCTAAAAAGTTTCTGTGGGTTATTGCAACAGTACAAGAATACAAGATGCTTCCATTTATTAAAAAAATGTAAAACAAATTGTGAAAGCTAAAGCACGCTACAAAACAGAAGGTTCCTCTATTGTCTTTCCCTCACTTAATTATGTTACAAGTTCATGTGCCACAGTTGAATACTATAAAGTGTAATTCTGCATTTGCTAATAATTTTTAAAACATTCCCAAGAAAAAGCACTATGCAAAATATATATATTTGTAAATGCTCCCTCCCATATCACAACCTTGTTATATAATCACCCTGCTCAACTGCCTCATGCTTCATATCTGAGTCACTCCTAACATCCCATTCTTTGTCAAGACAGTCTTTTTGTGGGGATGTGCCTGAGTCCTGTACCTCTGTCTTCTCATTTTCTGAAGAACAAGCATTCTCTTCACTCTGTGAATTCAAAGTCTCACTATTATTTTGCTTACTTTCTGTTAACGTGCACTCTTCGTTGAGACTTTGGACACTTAATTCACAACTCAAGGGCAGTTTTTCTTCTTCCAGTTCAGTGGCTTTCTCACATTGTTCTTCTACTTGTTGACGTGAAACTTCTTCAGAAACGGTGTATATTTTATTTGTACTCTGCTCTGTAGAGTTTGTTTTTGACCGTCTATGAAATAACCCAAAGTTCTTGATATCTGTTACAAAGTTCACCCTCCTTTGTTTCTCCTTGGTGGACTCAGGCACTATCATTGCAGATCCATTGCTCACATTATGTGCCTGAGAGGCAATGCTGGCTGAACGTGGATGAATCATTGTAGTTATGTCAAAAAGGCTGAAGTTCTTCTTCTTCACTTTCTGTTTTCCTTCACTCTCATTTTTTTCCTCAGTCTCTGACACGGAGGCAGCTTCTTTGCTGCCTTTTGAAGTCTGTAGATTAGATATCTTGTTTCCTTTTAACAGACCCAGGACTTCAAAACGAAAGCTGGAAATATCTTGCTTTAATTCCTAAAAATTTGGAAGCAACAGGAAAGAATTATTACTTTGGAACCTTTTGGCTTCTACAAATTGGTAATAAACAATCCTGATTTTTAAGTAAACAGTTACAGATAAACTTTGAAAGATGGATACTTCAGTGTCTTTGCAAACAGTGGGAGACAGAAAAGTGAAACTTGAAAGGAGAAGATGACATCAGTGACGGGTGATGTAAATTACCCCAAATCATTCACATAAATCCCTAGTTGTGATAGGGTGAGAACTCTGCACTTAACTGTGGCCAGTTCATTAGACTGTGTTACCCCAGTATAGATACAGCATTTTCAGCATTTCAGTTTCAGAATTTTAGAATATGAGCTACTTGCAAAGTAGAAAGTCGCATAGGAATTTTCTGTGTTAAGGATTTTAGTAAGCGAGTAAGATAATATTGGTAGTGGAGGGATTGGGGGCGTGGGGGTGCCTAAGGGTGAATAGCACAATGGTGACCTAGTAGTTGTGGTGGCTGTGACCACTGACCTCACATACAAGTTTCATCAACAAAATCTTCAAGCCATATATGTATTTTGTAGTGGAGAAGTTAAAATTCTTCAGGTGTAGAAATATGTCCATGTGGCACTGGAAATCCAAACACTCTTCCACACTCCAACATCAGTTTGGCACTCCTCCATACAGAAAAAAACTCTTAGCTAGTTGCTTAAGCTGACTTGGAGGAAAAGACCTGGTCACCATCATCATTGGCAAACTCTTGATTCAAGGATGATCTCTCTCATGGGTCATTGATGGATCTTGAGATTATTTAAGAGTCTAATCTTTGAGTCACAGATCCGTCCACAGAAGTTGCAGTTCTTTCCACAGGGGAAAGTAGGCTGCAGGCTGGGATTCCTTTCCTTTTCCTTCCTCCACTCTCTTTTCTGCTTTGAGGGCAAGACACTTTAACACAAAACAAGCTGCTACTTGGTTGAAGTTGCAGCACTATTGGGGGTTTGTTGGCAGTCAGCTCCTACAACTCTTGATGTTGGCATCTGTTTTTCTGAGGTAGGCTTCCAATGTGTCTTTGGAGGATTTCTCTTGAGCACGGTGAGATCTCAAGCCATAACTAAGATGGGATTAGAGCACTTGTTTTGGGAGTCAAGAGTCAGACATCTGCACACAATGTCCAGTCCAGTGAAGTTGGTGCATGGATCACTGTATTTGCATGGCAATCTTCCCATCTGATATGGAGAATTTTCTGGAGGCATCATTGGTGATACCTCTCCATGCTCTTGAGATGACGATAGTAGGTCACCCACATTTTTCAGCTGTAGGGAGAGTGAGAATGATGACTGCACTGTAAACCTGGATTTTGGTGTCTTTCCAGAAATCATGATGAATAAATACTTGTTGAAGCAATTTCCCAAAGGAGGCACTTGCACACACCAGATCCTGTGCTGGATATCCTCATCAGTGTTCTCTCTCTAAGAAAGGTAGCTACTGAGATAGGGAAAGTAACCGACTACTTCTTTCCCTTGATGGTACTTTGAGGGGGAAGGAGAGTATGTTTGGTGTTCGGTGTTTCAGAGCAAGCGGGATGTTCAAAATGGATCTGACAAGATAGTCATGTGATACAAACATCCATTCGATCACAGGTTCTAACAATAACATAGTTGAGGAGGTGTCAGTGCTTAGAGTGAAAGTATCTCTAGGTGGTCTTGTATTTGTCACTCTGTCTGAAGATGGTGTTCATGATGACAAGACCATGTCCTACACATTTGTTCAAGAGAAGGATGCCACTGGAGTTGCCTTTCCCTTTTTCTCCCTTTCCAATAGTGCCTCTCCAGAGTTCCAGGTCATGTCTGATTCTGACTAAGGATAATGATCTTATCCTCATTGTGAGTATTAGTCAGAATGTTGTCAAGGTTGGAGTAGAACTGTTCTTTGACATTATCGTTAGCATCAAGCGTTGGGGGATATGCACTGATGACAGTAGTGTATTGTTTGTTACTGACCTCAAGACAGAGGGTCATAAGACATTCATTAATACCCACAGTCAGCTCCGTAAGTTTACTGATGAGCAGATTTTTGATGGCAAAGCTGACACTGTGAATGCATCTGTCCTGGGCTGGTTTTCCAACTTAGAAGAAAGTGTAGCCTCCACTCTCTACCCTCACCTGGCACTCAATCAGTCATCTTGTCTCACTCATCTGTAAATGCTGATGTTGTATTTTACTAGTTCCCTAGAGATTATGATAATTCTTTCTGGTCATTCATTGTCTTAGTTCTATATCAAGGTGCAAATGTTCCATGTTGTGAAAATCTTTGTCTTCTTATGTTTTCAACCTCAGAGTGATCCCACTGAATGCGGTTACCCAGCCATGAGCAAGTAAAATAGCCTAGCTGTAGGGCACCTTTTCTAGCCTCTTCACCATGCAGGGTTATATACACATAAAAGGACTGTAAAAGATTAATGTAATTAAATGCACATGAAATTCTGCATGAAGTATATGCGTAATCAAATAGGCCACACAAGTTGTGTTCTCAGGAAAGTATGGTACTCATCTGAATTTATGCTTAGTTGTCATTTGCTATTTGCCAATAGTTATAATCATAAAAAATAATCACCTTAAAATTCTCCTCTGTGAGGCCTTCTTCAGTCTTGGCATCTCTTATCATTGCTGCAACATATCTCTTAACCAAATTTCTCATAACTTCCTAAAAGATTAAAAAGATCATGTTAATCTAGTTGGTAATTCTAATTGGACATACATTCATTAAACCAATTGGATTTGGTGGCCTTCCTTCCTTCCTTTTTATAAATTTTATACTTCCTAGAGTTGGACAAAATTTTGCATCAAAATGGTCCTCCCCCTACCCCCCATGGAAATGTTTTTTTTTACTAAAATATTCTTTTGGGGAAAAAAATCCATAATTATGCAAAAAATCACAAATACTTCAAATGGTTTTGTTGTAAAGGAAAAAAGTGAAAATATTTTTGTGATAAACAAGATAAGGTTAGCATTTTCTATGTCATTTTTGGATTTTTTTTTTGGCTTTTGTAAACATTGATGTGAAAAATCACATTCTAATCAGCTCTTAAAATGACCAGAAATTAAAATATGGGTTTTTACCTGATATTGATGATGTCTTCTCAAATTATCAGCTGCGCGCCTCTGAAAAGAAAAATGTTTGAGATAATGAATGGTATTAATGGTAGTAAAACATTTACAGATGGTAGCCTGTAGTGCTCTGTATTGGGTTACTATTAATCAGGTGATCAGGAAGCCTGGTTCAGGCTCTTCAGATAAGTTCCCAGAGCTGGTGAAAGGCCCATCCTAGACAGGAGTTGAACAAGAGTGAGGGCTGTTAACATTAAAAGCACATCTACATTTTCTATGTTCTGACAAAAGAAGCTCTTTTCCAGCACCAGATAAATCATACTGGGAATGGGGGGCAGTTTTCGGTTCCCCTAAATCACTATCATGGGTATGTATATAGTGGCCATATCATTGACACAAATAAGATTTTTGCATTAAATAAAAATAAACTCTGCATAAAGGGAGAAAGTAGAGGGACCAAAATTATTATTCAAAGCTTGGAAAGTAGTTACATATAGCCCCCATGGATTCCATATAGTTTAAAAAGTGTATTCTACCACCATACCCCTACTTTATTCTTGCCTCCTCATGCCATGAAAGAAACTCCAAGAATCTATTCCACACTGTGTGAGAATGCAGTTTCTAAGAGCAACAGTAAGGTTGAGCTCTGAATTGATGAGCCATAGGTCAGACACAATACATAAAAGCGTATCTATATAACCAGAAGGACAATGACTTTGATATTTGACAAGCAAAAAAAAAAATGTTGGTAGGATGAAATGAGCTAAATCTAGCACTGTTTGTACTGAAATACCTAATGGGTTTCAGGAAGAATAGTAAAAATAATGTAATTTCTTGTTCAGCTGATAAAATAATTATGCCTTTAATAACAATTTGAGTCTTTGTTTTTTCTTTATTTTTGGGTGTGCCAAGTTAGTCGGAGAGATCTCCTTTGATTTTAACTCCTATGTTTGCAACCTGAAAAGTGCCTAACTTTTTTGGAAAATAAACTTGCAATGTTGTGTTGCCTTAACATGAAAACTAAGCACACAACCGGATAAAATACAACATAATTCTATAATAAATTAGGCACATTCATATACCCTCTACTGTGCTTGTATTGATGGACTAATCTGTAATTTATTTATGACTGGTAATTTTTCTATGGTAGTAGTTTCCAGTCTGTTCTTGGATTTGTCTCTTTTAACTTACTGCAATCATGATGAGACACTAGGATGGTGTAGGGCTTGGTGGAGGAATTGCATGCATTTAGCTTGTCTAAGTAAACACTGTAGGCAATGGCTTCCTAAGTGAGCAGCTTTGCTTTAGATTCGCTGTTGCTCTCCCAGATAAGATGTCTGTGTCTTATGTCAGTATATTGTGCATGCTAAATATATGTTGCAATACCACTCGTAACTTAGTTACCTCAAGAGTGGGGGAAATGCTTAGCATTTAGACGAATATGCCCAAAGTACAACATTTACAGTTGAAGGGATGGTGCCCTCCCCCACCCTACAATAAAGCAGGTTTTAGTTTTGCACTATTTCAAATTGGGCCACAAGATGGGGGTATCTCATTCCTGTTTAAGGGAAATCCCAAGAACATGTAAGTCCAGGGTGACAAATCTGACTTGCAGGTAATGAACTAAGAATCACATAAAGATATAACAGGTGCATGTAACTCTGGGTAAAGATGGTGAGCCTAATAAAGAAATAAATAAATAATTCTGCCTCCCACTTTGTAGAAAACACATCACCATGGATCACTTCTCTGACTTTATATTACAGTAAAATGCAAAATAAACACAGCAGCTGAATTTTGTCCCCATTTCAGCTCCTGCTGTTGAAGTACACGATCACATGAATCAGGCTGGTCTGATCTTGCACTAGCTGAAGTCAATAGCAATATTTCAAGCAGCACAAGACGAGGTTTTAGCACACAACACAGAAATGTGGGACTTTGGCGGACTGTTCTAACATATTTCATAGTTTCATAGTAGTTAGGGGTCAGAAGGGACCTGAACAGATCATCTAGTCTAACCCGTCACCACTGGTTGGAGCACATGCTGTGATCACACAACCCCAGACAAGTGTTCATCCAACCTCTTTTTGAATTTACCGAAGGTAGGAGTGAGGACCACTTCCCTAGGACGTTGGTTCCAGATCCTAGCTACCCTGACAGTGAAATAGTGCCTCCTAATCAACCTGAACCTATTCTCCAGCAGCTTCTGGCCATTGTTCCTTGTCACCCCAGGTGCTGCTGTAGGGAATAGGACTTTTCCTATTTGCTGCTGATCTCCCCTACCGAGTTTGTAGGCAGCTAGCAAATCTCCCCTCAGTCTCCTCTTGCTGAGGCTGAACAGGTTCAGGTCCCTCGGCCTTTCCTTATAGGGCCTGCCCTGTTGCCCTCCAAACAAGCGGGTGGCCCTTCTCTGAAGCCTCTCAAGGCAGGCCACATCCTTCTTAAAAGTGCAGTGCCCAGAACTGGACACAGTACTCCAGTTGAGGCTGGACCAATGTCGCGTAGAGGGGGAGTATCACCCCTCTGGACTAGCTTGAGATGCATCTTTGGATGCACGACAAGGCGCGGTTGGCTTTGCTGGCTGCTGTCTGGCATTGGCGGCTCATATTCATCTTGGAGTCAATAATGACTTCAAGATCCCTTTCTGCCTCTGTACTCACAAGGGGGGAGCTCCCCAGCTTGTATGTATGCTGTGGATTCCTTCTCCCCAGGTGCAGCACCCTGCATTTATCTACATTGAACCCCATCCTATTACCATCCACCCATTTCTGTAGTCTAAGTCTAATTGCAGCCTCTCTCTCCCTTCGAGCGTGCCTACTTCTCCCCACATCTTGGTGTCATTGGCAAACTTGGACAATGTGTTTTCGATCCCCTTGTCCAAGTCGCTGATGAAGATGTTGAACAGTGTAGGCCCCAGGACTGAGCCCTGGGGGACCCCACTGCTCACATCCCGCCAGGTCGAGTATGACCCATCCACCACCGCTCTGAGTGCGCCCCATCAGCCAATTTTTGACCCATCCAACTGTGCAGGCATCAATGCCACAGTCGCTCAGTTTATTAATGAGAATGGGGTGAGAAACAGTGTCAAAGGCCTTCTTAAAGTCCAGAAAGACTATGTCCACAGTGACACCATCATCCAGGGATTTAGTTATCTGGTCATAAAAAGCCATCAGGTTGGTCTGGCAGGACCTGCCTTCGATGAACCCATGTTGATTTCCCCTGAGCATGATCTCCCCTGCTGGCCCCTCACAGGTGTGCTCCTTGATAATTTTTTCAAGGATTTTCCTCAAGACCAATGTGAGGCTTATGGGCCTATAGTTTCCTGGGTCCTCCTTTCTCCCTTTCTTATAGATGGGGACCACATTAGCTAGTCTCCAATCTCCGGGCACCTGGCCCGTGGACCACGATCGCTCATACAGCCGGGCCAAGGGCACAGCAATGACCCCCGCCAGCTCCCTCAACACCCGTGGGTGGAGGGCATCAGGGCCTGGAGATTTAAAAACATCCAGCCCGTCCAGAAGATCCCCAACTACTTCTGCACAGACCTGAGGCCTGGCAGTACTGTCCTCAAGATTGCCCCTACTTGTGGTGGGAGAGCTGTCCTGTTCCCTGTCCAAGAAAACAGAGGCAAAGAACTTGTTAAAGATTTCGGCTTTCTCGTCTGGCGTAGCCACAAGGTTACCATTTGAGTCTAACAGGGGCCCTACATTACTCGGTGCCTGCTTCTTACTCCCAATGTATTTGAAGAAGGACTTTTTGTTGTCCTTAATCCTGGGCGCTAGCCTGAGCGCCACCCCCTCCTTGGCCTTCCTAATGGCCCTCCTACACTCACGGGCCAAGGAGGAGTATTCCTCCTTGGTGATAGCCCCTCTCTTTCAGTGGGTGTACGCCTCCCTTTTGGCCCTCAGGCATTCTGGAATGCCTTTGCTGAGCCATGGGGGTTTCAGAGCACTCTTACCCCGCTTCTTTCTCTCAGGGACTGTCACACTCTGAGCCTGGAGGATCGTCCCCTTAAGGTACGACCATCCCTCATGGATTCCCATATCCTCTACCTTTTATGCCCTCAGTGCCTCCCCCACTAATCTCCTAAATTCGTTGAAGTTGGCCCTTCTAAAGTCAGGGGCTGTAGTCTTGGTATAAGCCCTCAACACCCTGAGCTGGATGGTGAATTCCAGCAGGCAATGATCGCTGTCACCCAGGTAGTCAAAGACCTGCAGTCCCCTCACCAGGTCATCCCCAGTGGCCAAGACCATGTCCAGCAAGGCATCTCTCCTAGTGGGGCTGTGCACCTCCTGGATAAGGTAATTTGTCCATGTTGGATTTGTCCATGTAAATATTCCCAGAATATTTCTACTACAGCTACAATAGTCCTTTATTTATAGTACTAGAAATCTGAAGAATATGTTTGTGTGTGTGTGCATGCATACACATAGACACATAGATTTCATACATTTCATAGACATTAGGGCTGGAAGGGGCCTTGTGAGATCATTGGGTCCAGCCCCCTGCCCAAGGAGTAGCAAGTTAGCTAGGGTCAGATCACCTCAGCAAGATAAGAATCCAGGTGTTTCTTAAATGTATCCAGAGTAGCTGGAGACTTGGATGGTAAAGTTTTTCCTTATGTCCAGTCTAAAATGGTCTTCCACCTGGTTGTGACTGTTAGACCTTGTCTTACCTTGGGGTGCCCTGGTGAGCAAACATTCTCCCAGTTCCTGATGCACACCTCTTATATACTTATAGTCTGCCACCAAGTCATCCCTGAGCCGTCACTACTCTTGACCTCTAATCATGGATCTCTCTCTCCTCTGGACTCTCTCAAGCTTCTTCACATCCTTTCTAAAGAGTGGAGCCCAGAATTGGAAGCAGTACTCCACCTGTGGCCTCACCAAGGCTGAAAAAAGCAGGAGAATTACTTCTTGGGTCTTGCTTGAGATGCATCGGTAGGTGCAAGCCAGAGTTTTATTTGCCTTGCCAGCTGCAGCATCCCAGTGGTAGCTTATGTTTATCTTGTGGTCAGTCATGACCCCCAAGTCTCTTTTGGTCATGGTTCTAGT